TGCCTAGAAGGTAAGATGACCAAGAGGCCGTTTTCGGCAAAGGGGCGAAGGAGCAAGAAGTGCTAGGATTGATTCATTCTGATTTGTGTGGTCCTATGTCGATCCAAGCTAGAGGAGGCTATGAGTATTTCGTCACTTTTATTGATGATTATTCTAGATATGGATACATTTACTTGTTGTACGCAAGTCCGAATGCTTTGAGAAATTCAAGGAGTATAGGACAATTGTGGAGAAACAACAAGGTAAAAGTATCAAGTGTCTTCGATCTGATCGAGGAGGCGAATACCTCTTTGGAGAGTTTAGGACATACCTATCAGAAGCAGGGATTGAATCCCAGCTAACTGCACCTGGCACGCCCCAGCAGAACGGGGTTGCAGAGCGAAGAAACAGAACTCTTATGGAAATGGTTAGGTCGATGATGAGTTATTCGAAGTTACCACATTCGTTTTGGGGATTTGCATTAGAGACAACATGTTACATTCTGAATTCTGTTCCTTCAAAGTCAGTAGACAGTACTCTTTATGAGTTGTGGAAAGGGCGCAAGCCTAGTTTCTCACAAATTCGAATTTGGGGTTGCCCTCCACATGTCTTAGTGCAGGAGGCTGGCAAGTTGGAGAAACGATCAGAAGTGAGACTGTTTGTCGGCTATTCCAAGGAAACGAAAGGTGGTTTATTTTATAGTCCTGAGGATCAGAAGGTGATCGTTAGTACGAACGCTAGATTCTTGGAAGAAGACTATATAATAGATCAGAAGCCCACTAGTAAACTTGTCCTAGAGGAGTTAGGGAGAGATATCGATAGTTCCCCACCGAGTGCGCAAGTAGATACATCACATAGTACTGCAACACGTAACACTGATAGTGTGCCAGTACAGACGGTACCTCATCGTAGTGGGAGGGTTTCTACACAACCTGACCGATGGATAGGTCTTGAAGAGTCATCGGACCCAGTTCCAGGAGACCTAGAATCGGACACAAGAACTTATGACGAGGCACTCCAAGATAGAGATGCAAATTCGTGGAAGGTTGCAATGAAAGCTGAGATGGGGTATATGGACACCAATCAGGTCTGGGATCTTGTAGAACCACCCGATGGGATACGTCCCATTGGATGCAAGTGGGTTTACAAGAGAAAGAGGGGATCGGATGGAAAGGTGGAAACCTTTAAAGCTAGGCTTGTTGCGAAAGGTTATACCCAGAAAGAGGGTATCGATTATGATGAAAACTTTTCGCCAGTAGCTATGCTTAAATCCATTCGGATTCTCTTAGCTGTAGCCACTCATATGGATTATGAAGTGTGGCAGATGGATGTTAAGACGACTTTCCTTAATGGGAACCTTCAGGAAGACATCTATATGAGGCAACCAGAAGGATTCATTGCAAAAGGGCATGAGCACTTAGTTTGTAAGCCTAATCGGTCCATTTATGGACTGAAGCAAGCCTCAAGGTCTTGGAATATTCGGTTTGATGAGGTAATCCAGTCATATGGATTTACTCAATGTCCGAATGAGCACTTTGTATACAAGAAGATTAGTGGAAGCGTGGTGGTGTTTCTTGTGCTA